ATTTTCTTTTTCGGGTAAATCTGGGGTGATCACGAATCCGTTGTCAGAATTGTCGCAGTGATGGATGCCAAAATGGCAACCAGCATCCAAGCGCAGACCACCAAATCTCTGTATCTTCTGTCTCCTTGCCTCGCCACGGACCACCATACCCCAACATCTTCTGTCTTCTTGCCGCGCCGCAGACCGCGAAACCTGCGTGTTGCACCAAACCTGCGTGTTGCACCGCAGACCACCATACCCCAACACCATCTGTCGCCACACCTGCCACACCTACGATGGTCTGCGGTTGATTGTTGGTTGCCATTTTGGCAGTCCGCAGGAGCGTCACCACTGAATAAAAAAGGGGTACAATGCCTTGAACATTATGGGGTACGTTTGTGAACAAGATGGGGTACTAGATAAACTTTTAGCAGACAGAGGGGTGTACCCCGCGGTTTCGTGAACAACATGGGTTCCTCGAACAAGCTCCCCTCTTCCAGACCCTAGTTTTCCCTGTTCCTGTGGGTGAAAAAAAAAGTTGGGCGTCCTTTGTAAGGACCTGCCGCATGGGGCTAAAGCGCTAGAAGGCGGTTTAAACCCGCCTACCCGGCGTCAGGCGTTGCGCCCCACACCGGAAAAAATATACCCCATTTTGTGCCCAAACACGCGGGGTATACCCCATTTTGTCAATTTCCCTTTTTTTTCTCTTTTTTTGATGCGGTTGAACGTCGTTTAAGACTTGGAACCAAAAGAGTTTTTTTCATTAAGTATATATACTCTTCGCCATGGGAGAAGCATTTTGTCTTTACCGCGGAACCCACCCCAAGCATTCCTTGGACCCGACGTACTAGCAGAACCAACCGTGTTAGTAGAACCACACCAACGCTCGTGATTGGTTCGCAGTGCTCCACCTCAGACATGAACCCAACAAACAGCTTTAAATCACAGTTTGTTTGTTGTCTCTGACTTGATTCATTCGTCCCCGCTGTGATGTTCTTCTTGCTTTCCTCGCGTTCTTCTTTTTCACTCCTGATGCTGCGCTATGCTCATGTGCAACAACCGACGTGACCCACCTTCCTCCAGCCCACGAACAGCCGACTCTTATCACCAACGGTTAGGTTCGCAGGATGAGCACGACGGTGACCGCCCAACCGGTAACTGCGGTGAGACATTGATCGCGGTTGTTGCTCTCAGAAGTAACCCACCGTCTCAGAGACGTTGCCCGTTCTACTATGTATGTACATTCCTTGCGCCTTTATCCAGCCATTCGGACAAGTGTTTTTTTGAGTGATGAACCTACAGAACTAGGAGGTCTTTTAGGCGCGCCTCACATGGAAGCTACCGTACGCTGAGTCCGCCTGCTCTAGGTGCTGTTGGTGGAACCTCTAATATTTTTCGCTGGTTATTACAGGTGGCTACGGTTGTTGAGGTGGTGGGCCTTACGGATGAGAACGAACTCGTTCGGAGGCATGATTCCGATGTCCCGCCTATTCTAGACGGGCCATTAACCATCAGTTGGCACACGGCTGGCCGACCCAATGGCCGACATGCGGGGGAGAACAGTGGGAAGTATATTGTTGACGACGGGTGCAACTGCTCGAGAGAAGAGTACAGTCGTGCCGGCACAGACAGGGGTCTCGAATTCGAATACAGGCAGGCTCCCACCAATATCTAGGCAAACCTCCTACATACATTGGATATAGTGATTAGTTGATGGCTTAACCGCCCCCGACAAAATGCAGTTATGCGGTGATAGTTTGCTCGCGTCCAGCCCCCCCCCCCACCCCACTCCCACCTGTCGCCTATGTTTAACCGCTGCGTTTCCCTCTTGGTGGAAAACCCCCGGCGATAACAGGTGCAGCCGCCCCAGGGAGCACCGGCGGGGGGCATGTGGATTGAGGACAAGTTTTGCGGACCCATGTCGTGGCTCCTGTGCGTCTTCACCGGGTGCTGCTGCATCAAGTGCATGTGCCCCTGCGACACCAGGACTGTGAGTAACTGCTTGCTGTGTACCAAGCTGCCGGCTGGCTGGCTGGCTGGCTGGCTGGCTGGCTGGCTGGCTGGCTGGCCTCTTGTTTGACGTTCGAATCTGACGTGCCTGGGGTTTCATGTTGACGTATCCATGCCCCTGGGAACTGAGGTGTGGTTTGTGGAGGCATTGCCTCTATTTTGCTCGTGGGCTGTTTCCGGCATGAATCCGCGGTCGTAGAGGCTTCACCCGGTGCAACTTTTAGATGAGCCCCTGGGTAAAAAACAACGGCGAATCAAGTTATTTTGCACTCTTCTCCTCGCACTTCCATGTGGTGTGCAACGTCAATCGGCCGTCCCTGCTTGATCTAATGATGTAGACAGCATTGCGGAAACCCCGACTTAGAATGCTCGCCGGTTTTCAAGTCAAGCAGGGAATGCCTTCAGCACATTTGTAGGTGTAGGCTGTTCTTACACATCCCATTTTATGTACTCCGACAATCGTGCAACGTTCTCTTCTTGGCCGACCAACCGCCGTCTACTTTTACGTCCAACATGTACATGAAACACTGCGCAACGTTCGTTCGGCCGTATGCCGAGTTTTGGACAGTCTGTGGAGTTTGCGAGCTCGCCAATTTTCAGGCGTCAGCGAAGCTAGAGTCTAGGCTAGCACAACGCAAAGCACGTGGGCACGACTTCCGTATGCATGTCGTACAGAAGCGAACAACGACGTGGCACCGTACAACGAGGAATGGGATCCACAAGCGCCACACTGCAAACCCATCATGCACAGGCATCTGAAAATGTCACTGTTCCTCCTCGCTTGTTCGTGCTGAATAGAGGTCGGTGTAAAACCCACCACACAAACCGGTACATGCCGCCGTGTCTTTGGTGCCCCCCCCCCCCCCCATGGGTGCATGATAACTGAATGCCAGACCATTATTAAAGTGGTATTTTTTTTATGGTTTCCTTCTTCTTTTCCTCCTCCTTGACCAACGTACAACATCAACATTGCATGCGTGTACCCCCACCACCCCTGTTGCCGCCAGGGGTACGTGGGGAACGGCACCAAGTACAACGCGATGGGGGCCATCGTCATCAGCTGAACAAGCACGCCTGCCTGCCTGCCTGACCTCCAAATCCACGCCCCTCTCCTGGAAGGATTTTCACCGCCAGGGTCGAGCACCAGTCCAGAGTTGGAGCAAGCTTTTTAGTATGTCCTGATCCCCCATGTGTCCGCGGTTGCACCACGAAGCGGGGAACCGGCGATGTGCCAAAGCATCGGCGGCACCCGCCGTCGGAATTGTTCGCTTGTTCGAGGTCTGCCGGTGAAATCGTGTTGCCAATTGTAGACGACCGAAATGTGGTGTGCTTGTGTGCCAGATCTGCGCCCGGAACTCACCAAGCACCCCCACCGAGCCACCCACCAGTTTGAGTTGGGCTCATGATGGGTGAACAAAAGGACGCGAAATGAGCACTGTGCGTGAGGTTTTTTATTTTGTCCGTTTTTCAAGTTTCCCTGACGCCCCTCACGCCGCATTTGATGGTGCGGGATGGTGACGTGAATGAATTTAACTATTCCTAGCGATAGGCCCTCGGCTAGCGGAGGTGGCGGGGCGGCAAGTTTAGAACCAGGCGATCGTGTATTTTTCCTGCTGTGGTTGATGTCTCGTTTATGACCGCTTGGCCTCGCGATCGTAGATGGGAGCAATTGGCGTATTTGACTGTCCTCTCTTCCCTAAACGTCACTAATAGCGGCGTGGACTTCGTGGGTTCCTGGTCATTTCTGCGATTTTTATTCAGGGCAGCTCTAATGTACCTTTGTCTCAAGAATTGTTTGGGTGTGTTTTGGCTCCACCCGTGGCAGAGTCGGCTGTCAGCCGGCGCTGTTGGAAGGACTATTTTATATGGCAGTGCATTTGTAATGAGCCGCGGAGCGGGACCACGACTTTTTTTCCCTTCCATGTCCAAGAGGGGGAAAAGGCTCTACATAATATCGGCCTATTCCGCCGCAGGATACAGGGGCCCAAAACTTGCTTTCCGAGAAGCCTAAATAGCACACCTTCGGGACCAAAACGAGATCTATGTAGGGCACGGATTGACGATCTGTTCGCTTCTGAGGAAGAAGAAAAATAGCGCACTCTTCCCGACACCGGTTTCGTCTTGGTCCGACAGCAGATGGCCGTGCTTCACCGGCATATGTATCCAAAATTGTATCCAAAATTCGTACGAGATTTTGCTCCCTGTCCCTTGGACTTGTCTGCGAAAAGGGGGGAGATCTCGCCCGCGCGCGATTGAACCACAGGACACCGC